TTTCACTAATTTCAAATTTAAGAGAGATGGTTTACAATTTCAAATCTCAAATTTTTTTAAATTTTATTTATAAATTAATTAATTAAACATATATTTTATTAATTAAATATATTAAGGTTACAATTCCATAAAATGTGGTCACAAATTATAAATTAATTGGTCACAAATTATTTCTCGATCATAATAAACAAATTTATATGTTATAAATTATTTCACAATAACAAATCGAAAATTTTATACGTCACAATATTTTCATCGGTGACAAATTTATAAAATTAATAAGTCAGTATTATTCATTGATTAGAAATCATAAATTTTATATATCACAAATTATTTAAACCTCACAATTCAAAAGAGTCACAATTTGTTCATCGATCACAAATCAAAAATTAAAACATCACAATTTATTTATAGGTGAGAAGTCACAAATATTATAAGTCACAAACTATCAAATTATTGGTCACAAATTAACAATTTTTAGGTCGCACATTATTTTTTGATCACATTTTATCTTCACATTAATCAATTTAATGGTCATAAACAACCAAAAAATATGTGACTACCACCTAACAACTGCCACCAACAGCATGGCAACTAAAACCCCGTCGTCGGAACCACCACCACCCCATCCTACAACCTAAAAAAATCCTCAACTCTACCATCATTGCCGCCAACCACGTCCGACAAATTTTCAACTTCAAATCCACGAACACCACCACCTCCACCTCGTCACCACAACCACCAACAAAACCAACGTCACCACCGCACCAATAAGATCCAACAGTCGCCCAAACACTAGATCGCCTCCCAAAAATCAATAAAATCGCATCCCAAAAATCAATAAAATCACCGCCCAACCACCAACAAAACCACCACCACCAACATTATCCAATATTGTTGCCTAAACACCAAATTGCAAGCAACAAAATCGTCATCCAAACAACACCAAAATCTTCATCACCACCACGACCACCAACAAACCACCATAACCACCACATCCACCAACAAGATCCAAGAAAATCACCGCGACAGCCGCCCAAAAAAACCAACAAATCAAATCCACAAATGGCATCACCACAACGCCTCACCAGAACTAGAACGCCGCTGGTTGTGTGCAGTTATACTCAGATCAGATCCACCAATTAATCAGCCATGGCCGCTGTGCCGCTTCAAGCGACCCGCAATGACAATCACAGGATGCTCAGCGCATTTAGTGGGGGAAGAAGAGCAGCGACCGGGTGATGGAAGATAGAGAGCAGCGGCGGTATAGTGGCATTATCGGACGGCAGCGGTGGTGAAGACGCGATGTGACACGACGGCGATGGCGACGGTGGTGGGTTGGTAGAGAGAGTGGGAAGAGAGAAGAGGGAGAAGCGAGTTGAAATTGGTTTTAGGGTTTGGGGAATATTAGTTTAAATTTTAAATAATAATAATAATATTTAAAATTTTAATTATCATCTGATTTTTGAAATAAAAACTTGTAAATCTGAATTTTGAAATTGGAAGTTGAAANTCTGATTTTTGAAAAGAAAAAAAAAACTTTTAAATGTGAATTTTGAAATTGGAAGTTGAAAATTCTGGTATTGTGTAATTTCCACTATAATTTTATTTTATGTTTTTCTAAAAAAAAAAAAAAATCTTGTATTACTCTCACGAGAGAAATCTAAAATAAAATTATTCTGGAGTGCTAAATTAATTTTCTCAGAATCCATCTAACATGATTGGAATTCAATGCTATAGTACTTGAATATTTTGTTTTTGTTTTGATATATTTTTTACAAAGTTAGATTGTTATAATAAATAGATCCAATGATTGGCACATGCTAGGAATTTTTTTTGTTTCATATCTAGGTCGGATGCATTAAATCGTTCAATAGTTCTAGGTGAAATTGTTCTATCTAATGGGTGAATGAAGAATTTAATACGTCCAAATGAGTTTCAATCCAACACAACTAAACCTACGTTCGAAGCAGATTTTTTCAAGCAAATCAATTTTTCGATGCAACGTCGTGGAACCCATAAAGATTAATTTAAAGTTGATTGGAATCCATGTCATTTAAGCAATTTTCATCTAAATGACCGAATTACCCCTATAATACTCACTTACTCTTTGAAGCCAAGGCAAAATTTAAAATGTCGAAATGTATTTTTCGAGGCTTGTTAGGGGAATTAATTGAATTTTTCATTTGACTTAATATTTTAATACACTTCTCCAACTTCTAATCATCAAATTCTATTGAAAATATGATTTTGATCTACACCAATCTGGGGCTAACTAAGGAGTATAATCAATCAATTTTTTATTTTTTTTTATTTTTTATTTTTTGTTCCGAACACATGTAATTTGACATATTTTTTTCGCACGTGATTGTTCATCATTAATTCAACTTTAAGTTATAAATGAAAGACAATTTAATGAGTTGATATGGACAACAAACAATGACATTGGACTGACTCAATATTCAATAATCTTAACAAATAAACAACTCCTATTTTAAATGCGTGAACTTGGATTCCTTCCATGAGTGCATATGACTTGCCTATTCTTTTGTATCGTTTTCATGTTGAATTTCATTATAATTTGCTTTGAGCATTGAAATATTTATAAATGAAAAAAAATAGTACATTCCAAATTATTTTCAATAAACTAGGTAATGTTTTTGTTTCTTTTAAGGTTAAGCCTAGGCAATTGACCTTCCATTACAATTTGATGCCCTAAAAACGAAAATGATAAATAAAAATTATGGTATGTATTTTAGATTAAAAAGATTTTTTATATATATTTTTTAACACTAACGTGATATAGTAATAAATTGGCACGACACACAGTAATTACGTGAAAGGTTCAATGAGGTATGATTGTGAATTGAACATTTTTTTCTCAATTTGGAAGACGTAAGGTGATGTAGTGATAATATTCATTACGATATTTTTCGTCTAGATTGTGACATTTTATTCTAATCGCTTGGTTTAGATCAATAGAATGAAAAAACTTGGTAGAAATTTTTGTTAGGTAGCCAATTAATATTTAATTATTTCCTTGAACAAGCTGGTCAAACATAAATTTGGTTGGCCTCGTTGTCGTGGTTTTGACAATTCTGAGATTTATAGGAAGTCAAACTAATTTATCTACTGAGTGTTCAGTCATATGGGTACTCCTCACTTTCCTCCTCCAATCCTATTTTTCTTTTTCTTTTTTTTTTTAATTTATTATCTAAATTAGTATATATTCTTTAAAAATCATTTCAATTAACTAAACTCCTCTCGTTTGAGCCATATTATTTGACTATGGAAAATTCGAAGCTGACATCACAGCTTAGATCATATCAACGTTGTAGTGTCAATTAGTGTGGGTGAATTCCTTGTCTTGTACTCATTTTCTTATCTTTTAGGTATGTGTCAATTTCGCCAATAATTATAAACTTAAGATTCACGCGTTTTTTGTGTTTTATATGTGTTAAGGTGCATGCACCTTACGGTTTTCCTAAGTCTTAATCAAGAAATACCAATTAAAGTGGAAGGTTTCTTTATCAGTGAACACGTTTCATCTTTTTTGAGATCATCTCAAGGGTGTTCTCCACATTTACGAGTCAATGAATTGACTGCAGAATCCTATTAAACAATTGGAATACATTAGTTGTCCATCCACAAATTGGACATTAAGAATTGGAAAACAACAATAACCGACTCGTAAAACTTTTTAGTATTCTTGTCATTCTAAATGTTCTTGTATGTGTAAGCGCATGCATGTACATTTTCAACTTTTTTTTAACCATTGATTCTTTTTTTTAACCATTGATTTTTCTATTATGTAATAACTTATTTTGTCAAAGCTCTCTCTCTCTCTCTCTCTCTCCCCAATCATATAGTATCAAAGACTTTGTACAATCTACGTACAAAAATGAAAGATACAAAATAACCCGTATGCTAATATGATTTGTCATGACTTTATGTACTCGTTCTCAATTTAATGTCTACATCACTATTCTCTAAGTTTTTGAGTTTAAATCTCGATCTCCACTATATATTCGACAGTCTTCAATACGCAACATCACATCGTGAGAATATATTAGTGCTTTGAGAAATTATACCAAGTGATCCCACAAGAATGGTATTAGATTTTTCACCATAATAGGAACTTAAACTCCCACTAATGCCGAAATAAATATTTATATTAACCCTCCTCATAATGTATTTCTGTAAATTTGCCAAATGAAAACTACATTTTTCTCTAATTCAGGAGCCCAAGTTGACCGTTGAATAGAATCTTACATCGGACGGCTGGCAGTTGGATTTGTTATCTAGAATTATGCTGGGTGTCATAACTAAAAAAATTAATATAATATAATATAATAATTATTCAGATATAAATTAATAATAATAATAATAATAATTTTACTCTAAGATCCAGAGAGCATCACTTTAGATTATTCACCGCCACCATTACCTAAGTATCACTTTGTGATTGTACACATTCCTTTAAATCTTGTCTTGAATCCATCTAGCTGAAGAACTTGACAAGTGCTTTGAGGATATGGTTGTAGAATTGAAGTGGAGAATAATATGGGATTTTCAATTAGAGACAATTGCAATCACAGTACCAAATCTTTCATTTTATTTCAGACTTGATTCAAATCTTTCATTTGTATTACTCATGGTACCAAACTTTTCAAAATTTCTCACATGGAGTCCAATGGATGAATTGACCATTAGTTGAGGAAAGGTTGAGCTGGTTGGGATGAGGTGTCGACATTGGGTGCCGACCATGGTGTCGCAGCTGCGCCGACTTTAGGTGGTGGGTAGGAAAGGTGAAGGACAGAAGGAAAGAAGAGGACCCAATTTGTTTTTTCCTTTATTGTTTTTTTTTTATATTAAAATTATAATGTCACTATTTTCCCTTATCACAACCGTTCAAATTTTACTATTTCGATCAATTAANNNTATTGTAGATGACACATAAAATTTTTTTGAATCGAGTATGAGATAAAATTGATACCCTACTACAATTCTCCCTTCCAATTATTGGACAGAGATTTCAAGGATAATATAGCAATAGAAAATAATCTGCTTTATAGTTTGATTATCTGTGGAGGACCCCAGTCACCTTACCTTACCTTACCTTATTGCAATGTGCCAACAGCCTACTGTGTCTGTTTTTTTCTGCACTTCCATGGCGGCCAATAAAGAAAAGATATCTACAATATAATTGCAAGAATGTGCACAACCCAACAAAAAGCTGAAGTAGCAGAGGAAGTTGCTGTTTGCTCAAAAATAAAACTGTGTTTTCATAACAATTCTACTATGTAAATTATTTTGTACCACAATTGGGTGGTGTTTTCTGTTCCTGATCATTTTTGGGGCTCTCTATTTCTCAGAGAAGTTCTCAATCTTTAGCCTTCAGGGTTCTTCATTAAGGCAGGATCTACTGAATTTTCTTGATTTCAGCTTCTGGATTCTGTGGGTTCAGTGAAAAAGGTGATTCTTTGGAATTTCGGAGTGATTATCGAAGTTCAAGTTTTACTTTGTGCCAAAACATTTACTCCAGGTAATTTAACCGATGGATTTTTTCTCAGGTTTTCATTAAGAATGAGTCTCAATTAATAACTCCAATTCTTGGTTCCTAATTTGTGGAAGTCAGGGGCTTTTTGATCTGTAAATTAGGTGAATTTTCTTTGGAGTTATATAGAGTCTTTGTGGTTTTTATCATCAATTGCATCTGATAAGGGTGAAAAAAATTTAGTTACTGAAAAAATTGAAAGGGTTAGGAAATTCATCAGCTAAGTGTGTTTTTGGAATTTTGAAAGATTTATATGTGATAATGGAGAAACAGAGTAGTTTTCGGAGTCCAAAAATGGAAAAACAACAAAGTTTTCGCAGCGGGGTAATGGAGAAGCAGAAAAGCTTTAGGGGTTTAATGGAAAAGCAGAAGAGTTTTAGGATTGCAATGGAGAGACAGATAAGTTTTGGTGTAGAGAGGAAAAGGAGCAAGGATTCGCCTGGGAAACGTGGGGATTCACCCCTTCATCTCGCTGCACGAGCTGGGAATTTGGGGAAGGTGAAAGAAATTTTTATGAAGTTTGAGAATATCAATAATGGAATAAAAGATTTGCTGTCGAATAAGAACCAAGAGGGTGAGACTCCATTATACGTCGCAGCAGAGAATGGACATGCTTTGATCGTTGGTGAGTTCTTAAGACATTCTGATGTTGAAACTGCCTCTATTGTAGCCAATAATGGCTACGATCCGTACCATGTGGCTGCTAAGCAGGGTCGTATTGGTGAGTTTTTTATCTCGTTGTTCATTTTTCTTTACGTAATTTGGACGAATTTGAATTCAAGATTATTCTTAATTGAGTTTTCTTGGTGCTTCGTGCGAGAATATAGTGCTATATTTTCCACGGAGTTGTTTGATTATGTCTATAATCTCCCGGACTGGAGTTTTGTTTGTCAAAAGTATGTGCTATCCTCTTGCATATTCCACTGGTTCGTCATAGTAATCTAATTGCATTTCATTGGACATTATTATCCGTGGCTTTGCTTTTCTTTTCTTTATATGCCGCTATAGTCCCCAATTTTATTCGACACTTGAATTAATAAAGATCATGTATATATATTGGCTACTACCTTATAATTTGAAGGTCAAAAATGTGTTGTTAGCATCTTTCACTGGTGAAATGTGTCTTATTGAAGCGGCAATTTCACATTTATATGCAAATCATGTTCTCATGCGAAGTTCCCTGATAGTTATGGTTTGTAATTGGAGTCCCTACCCTACTGAAAGCATATGTGAGCGTAGATATTCAAGTAGGTTGGGGAAACATAAAGAAAAAGATATCACTTTGGAAATCTGGATATATGTCAAGTTAGGTGCTCCTTCACCTAGTGTCTTGCTGAGGTTTGTTTCTTAAATGGTGCAGATGTGCTGAAGGAACTCTCGCGTTTCTTTCCAAACCTGGTCATGACTACAGATTCATCGAATTCTACTGCATTACATACAGCTGCTGCTCAGGGTCACATCGATGTGGTAAATCTGCTCCTGGATACAGATTCCAACCTCGCCAAGATTGCAAAAAATAACGGCAAGACTGTACTTCATACAGCAGCAAGAATGGGCCACTTGGAAGCTCTTAAATCCCTGATAAATAAGGATCCTACTATATGCTCTTGGACTGATAGAAAAGGTCAAACAGCACTGCACATGGCTGTGAAGGGACAAAATGTTGAGATCGTGACCGAGTTGATAAAACCTGATCCCTCTGTACTGGCATTGGAAGATAATAAGGGAAATACTGCACTACATATAG